ATTCTTCCCAATCAGCTACGGTTACACCTGCAGGCCAAAGCCGTGACTGAGAGGGAGGGTAGGGTAACCATATTTTGAAAACCAAATTTGGGAACCACATAAAAAAGATACCCACATCAGGACTTTGAGCTCACAGTCTAGGTTGACGATCCAGTGCAATGTTGGAAGAGCCATGTGGTTGTTTAGGTGGTTAAGGATCCCACAGCATTATTTGAGAAAAGAAGGGAGTTTCTCTTTCCCAGGTTCTGGCTGATAATCCCCAGATGCAATCACTGATCTGGGCAATCACTCACCACAATTCCTGATGTTGCCAGAACTGGAGAAACTTGTTGGATGAATGGCTGTATTTCTCTGATGAGTGTACATGTTATTGTTAATGTTATTGTTCTCACTCAAATTTGTTCCTGAATTTAGGACAGGGCAAATTTAGCCAGGGACACAACACCTCATACAAGGAGTTTCCGGAAATCAGGGTCACCCTAGGATAGGATAGTCCTAGCTGAACAATCAATAGGAAGCTTATCAAATAGTGCTTTCAAAGGCAAACTATGTGGTTTTAGCTTGTTAAACTTCAGCACACTCTGGGATCCCCAAGTCTCGTCTCTCATTAACGTATGTAATATTCTCCAGAATTAGGTAAACAGGGCGAGTCCCTCCGGGAAGAAAGTGCAGATTACATTCTGGACATAGGGAAATTTTCATGCAGGGTGCATAGATACATGGAACTCTGAGTTTGATTTGGATGTTCTTTAAGCACGGCAAGACTGACTGAAAAGATTGGTATCTCAGCCAATTCTGGAGACACTCAATATTTGAAGTAAATAATATGACAATGTTTACATCGTGGGTCCACACTAGACAACAGACCAGGCTAGGGGGAGATTAGATACGAGTGTAGAGGAAGGGATTTCAGGTCTGTGAGCGGAGCCTGGTGCTCACTTCCACACTTGACTTCTATACTTCAATCCCATTTCTGCTCTTTCCGAATCAAGACAATGCTGATGCTCTCTACCTCACTGGAGCTCTCTAATTTGCCTCCTCTTTTCCCAGCATATCTGTGCTGGTGCTCGCTCCCTCACTGCAACTCTATTCCAATCCCTGCTCTTGCCGTTTTGCCTTGTTATATTTTGCATCTCAAATTACATAGGAATGTTTTGTGTTAAACATTACTGCAGTCTCAGTCACATCGGCCCCTTGTACAGCACATTCCATCCTCTGATGACCCTCTGTGTGTGTGAAACCGTTGACTCTCGCCTCCCACTTTAACTCTTCCTCTGGTTCCGGTCTTTCCTGGGCCCCTTTCCCAGATTTCAGCTGAAATTTCTCTGATGATTCCCGGCCCCTGAATGACCCTGAGCTCCTGTTCTGTTCTTCCTGGGTATTTGGTCTGTTACTATACTCTGCACTCAGATTCTACACAGCACTTAGACTCTGCACAGATCCTATCCCACACAGCAACTCCCAATAATCCCCAACATCAGCCCAATTGTATCAGAATCACCCCTAACATAATCCTCAAACACCTCTCAAAAAATTTACTGAAGTCACCCCCACACCCATTATTCCTCTATAACTACACCAGCGGTGACTCTATATAGTACTTCAGGGCATTGCGGGTGTTGGTGACAGACAAGCCAGCCTAGCTCATTGACAAGACTTGGAGGGGTAGCCTGGGGACAGGGTTCCTCCAACTCAGCCCCTATTAATCCTGTAAGTGACATAGTTTTAACTGGTTAGACTCCAGCACACTCTGAGGCTCTCAAGCCTTAGCTCTCGCCAATCTGTGCCTAATGCTCTCCAGAATTAGGTAAAGTGGGTGCATCCCTCTGAGGAGAGAGTCTGCAGTGCATTCCAAGCATGAGGAGATTTAAGAAAGAAAAAAAAATCGTTATATTTGATGTGGAGTTTTACTTCAGGAGGGTATCTCACAGCGCTTCACAGGATTCAAAATAAAGTGTAATAACTGTGCAACTGTACTATGTGGTGTTAGCTGATTAAATGCCACTGCCAATTTGCATACAGCAGCATCTCACACAGCCATTAAATGATCAATTTTATCTGAGGAATTGTCAGCTACAATTCCAGAGGAAACTCCCTTCACTTTTCAAGTAGTGCTGTGGAGATTCTTAAAATCCCCCTGACCAGGGCACGATGGGAGCTTAGTTTAACGTGTCCTCCAAAGAAATCAAAACCTTTATGTGCAGGCTTTATGTGCAGATTATGATAAATCTAGAAACCTCAGCTAGAGGTTTCTAGATTTATCATAATAATAATCCTTACATTTAACACGGTGCTTTTCATCTTGGGAGGCCATCTAAAAATGCTTTACAGGATTCACTGGAAAATGGGGCATCTATATATTTTGTAGGCGAACATGGCAGGCAAGTTGCACACAATGACCCATGACATGAGTGAACTATTTTATCACACAGACAGGAGAAACTTCTCTTTTCCAATAGCACAGATGGATCATTATGGATCACTATTGGGGCTAATAATCCTTAAAAAAAATAATTTGGTCATTTAATCCAAGACTTTCTGTTGGACAGCGCTGTGCGCAATTGGTTGCCGCGTTTCGCACACAGGCGGTTCACTTTGCAGTGTATTCTGTGAAGCCTTTGAAATGTCTCAAAGATGTGAAAAGTGCTATATCAAATGCAAAGATTATTTTTATATTATTATATTATCATTAATGTCCACGCAAACAAACACAGATGGGAGCTCATTTTAACATCTCATCCAACGGTTGGCTCCTCCAATACTAGAGTGCTCCCCCAGCACAGTATCAGCCTAGGCTGAAAGCTCATTATCCGTGCCCATTGGCTGTTCCCTCTGGTCGGCCAAGTGCAGTTATTTTAAATACCTTTACATTGTTCAGAAATGCAGAGAATGTGGCTATGTGACTGTGAGCTCAGTTTATCAGATGCTGTCCCCACACATCAATCCCTTGGGAGGACAGGATGGCATCTCTTTCCAAGGTCAGGAATCAGGAGATCACAAGATACAGGAAGATGTTATCTGTGTTGGGTTGGACCAGAGACTTTGTCTCTGAGGCAAAGGGGCAGGAAGCTAAGAGGCCTGGGTGAGGGGGCGTGGAAGACAGATGTGAGTGAAGAGATGAGGGCTAGGGGTTGGAATGAGAGACGGGTGGTGGGGGGAGGAAGAGAGTGCATGTGAGTGAGAAATAGACAGTGTGTGAGAGACAGGGAGGGAATGGGAGAGAGGAAACTAAATGAGAGGTGCGACTGAGGGAGTGAGACAGAGAATAGGAGCATGAGAGACTGATACTGAAAGAGACAAAGAGGAAGAGAGTGACAGAGAGACCAAACCGAGTAAGAAGAAATGAGACAGAGTGGAATTTTTTTGGTCAGGCATGTGTCTGACACATGCAGAAACCCATCACCGTGCTTAAGAGTATCCAAACTGAGCAGAGTCCCACATGTCACCTACTTGGAAATGATGATGTCTGAGTACATATTCTCTTATTATTTCTAAAAAGGGATTATTACCACGGCAAGTGATCCGCCAATCGACTAACAACCAGGTTCCTACTTACTGCTGGGTAAACAGTGGTGTGTGGGGAAAGGAATGTTGCCTAAGGTTTCACCCTGTTAGAAATCCAAATAAGAGACACACGCTCAAATGGATTATATTTGTTCTTTTTAATACTCAGAATCCCAATGGGTTAATACACTCGGTTAATTGCCTGCTACACACATATAAGGTTACTTAATGAGTTCCCCCTCATATTTCATAGCTCACTTAGGCGCGGCCATCGTCCCAACTATCTACTAGTTACGATCGTACCGGACTCCTAATTCCCGCAATTGCCGAGTGTATTAATACTGAGCATCCTGCCGACTACGCCAAATTGTTAGAAAATAAAATCTTCTTTTCGAGTTCCAATCAAACACAACCACTGTTTAAACTCCAGGATCTGTCCAAGTTCCCGATGGGCGAGGGCAAGTAAGCACAATCAATCAATTTACTAACAGAACAATACTACCGTGTAATTCCTCCTCGTGGTCGTCTACTTCTGTCTTCTAGCTGTCTTCCATCCACGGTAGGTACTGTCCCGGGCGAGCACCGATTTTGGTCTGGCACCGTGTCTTAACTTGTATCCATCCAATCATGGTGTGGACATTAGGTCACCTGCTGAAATCATGCCGGGTGTACGTGAGCACCTCATGGGGTGTAGTGCCTCACACACATACACATTGTCCTTAAGACCCCTGTTATCTGATCTAATTGTCTAAGATAGAGGATTGATCAGTTTAGGGCTGTATCTGGTGCTCATTATTTTGTGGTGTGGGATCATTAGTACATTCCTTTTAAGTGACTGGTTATTGCTGATCAGTATCCCGGGATGGTACCGAGGCCCTCCAGTTTAAACAACTTGCTCATTAGTTGCTATTCTTGAGGGTTGCCTTCTGTCGCTCGGCCCTGTCAGAATCTATCCCATGACTGTCAGTCCAGTTGTCCCCCACACTTAACTTAAAAGTTAACCCGTTCGCAACATCTATTGTGATTCTAACATAAATTCTAACAACCCCACCCAGAAGGCGTCACAACCCCTTCTCTCTCTTGTGAGGCGAGTGCTCTAATCAATACGCTACAGGATTCCTACTTATACAACTGGGACTGTGGTTTGCAGGGTTAACAGGAGCTGAGTGGGAAGAATCCCTCCCCCAGTGACTGGTCTGACCGTCCAAATCCTGCCAATAAGGCAGGCTGCCAGTCTGTCAACTAGGAGGAGTGGACAAGGAGTGTGGAGAGAGGAAGGTTGCAGGGGGAGATGGGTGTTGGTGAGGGAAATTGGAGTTTGGGGATTTTGTGGTATATAAACACACTGCCGCTTGTGCTGTTTCTGTGCTGTGTCACTGTAAGTGTGGAGTTAGTCGAGGGGAGGAATAGGCCAGGTAGGAGGGATAGGGGAGGACGCAGTGCTATTGTAACTAAATGCCTTGTTGCTGCCGCCACCTGCACAGAAAAACTGCTTTGAACAAAATGAGCGACAATTTTATTCTACAAGATTTAATTCCAGAATATTAAAATGTCAGTTAATAATGTTTGATTAAACATTTCTGGCAAAAGGTCCCACAACCGCCCCAATAATTCTCCTGTAACTGCTCACCTCCCCCCTCAGCCCTGTTAATGCAATAAGTACGAGTTGGTAGGATGCAACCAGTGATCCAAGCTCTTGGGTGACCATTCTGTAGAATGCTTCTATACATAGTATAGAGACCAATCCGACTCTCAACAATTGTTCACAGAATCCTGGAAAAAAACAATAAGTCAATCGTTAATTTATTACTCAGTCTAATACTAATCTTTACATTTGATACAATACTTTATAAACAGGGGCATAGAATACAAAGTTAGGAAGTTATGATGAACCTTTATATAAAACACTGGTTAGGCCTCAGCGAGAGACTGTGTGCAGTTCTGGGGTTTAGGAAGGATGTCAAGGCATTGGAGAGGGTGCAAAGGAGATTTACCAGGATACCAGGAATGAGGGGCTTCAGTTATTAGGAGAGGCAGAGAAACTCGGATTATTCTCCTTGGAGGAGAGAAGGTTAAGAGGAGACTTAATAGAAGTTTTCAATCTTATGAGGGGATTCGATCGGGTGAACAGGAGAAACTATTCCCACTGGCAGGTGGGTCGGTAACCCGAGGGCACAGATTTAAAATAGTTGTTAAAAGAAACAGAGGGGAGGGGAGGAGAAATGTCTTCACACAGCGAGTTGTTGGGATCTGGAATGCAGTGCCTGAAAGGCCGGTGGGAACCGAAGCCAAAGTATTTGGGGAGGACAAGTTTGCAGAGGGCTATGGGGAGAGCGCGGGGGATTGATTTGGAAGCTCTTTTCAAAGAGCCGGCACAGACACAATGGGCCGAATGACCTCCTTCTGTGTTGTATAATTCTATGATTCTATAATAATACCTTTATCAAGAGTCCCAAACTACTTCACATGATTTATAGTAAAGTGTAGTGACCGTGTAAGTAAACACAGCAGTCAATTTGCATAGTAACTTCACACAAAAAGCTGTGAAACAGCGGATTGATTTCTAGAACCTCACTAACGCATTGAAATCTCTTCACTCCCCACCTCTCTGACCTCCTTGTACACCACTCGCTTGCATAGGCACATACTCCGAACTCTCTGCTCCACCATCAGTGGCTAAGCCTTCAGCCACTATGCTCCTAACCTCAAACTTCCTGTCTCAATCCCTCCACCTCGCCCCCTTTTTATCTTTAAATCTTAAGACCTATCTCTTCAGCTGTGCCCTCTGGTCACATCCTCTCCTGCTCAGCATCCATCCACCACTGTGCAGCACTCAAGAGACATTTTCTGTACAAAGTCGCTGCCAATTCCAGGCTCCTGTTCTCTACCACTAAGCGCGTCCTCTGTCCACCTTCCCGTGCCTCGCCCAAATCCAACTGCGAGGAGATATTGGACTTCCTTGAGTCCAAAATGGAGGGGATTCGCTAGGCTACCTCTCCCCCATCTACCACTACCCCCTCCCCTATCTACCACTACTCCCTCCCCATCTCCACCTCACAGCCTGGCCCATTCCCATCCCTCCTTTATACACCTTCGACCCCGCCTTGCACTCTTCCCTCATCATCTCAAAAATGAAGCCCATCACCTGCTCCCTGGACCCTGCCCCACCCCTCTCCTTATCTCCCAGCTCCACCAGCTGGCCCCTCTTTTAACTATCATCATCAACATCTCCTTATAACTTGCAGAATCCCCACCCCTGTAAAAAACAGCTCTCATCACCCCATCCTCAAAAATCTTCTCTGGACCCATCACTACTCTCCAGCTACTGCCCCATCTACAACCACTCTTCCCTCTCCAACGTCCCAGAACAAGTCCCCGTCCCAGCTCTTTCTTCTCCCGCCACTCACTCTACGAACCTCTCCAATCGGGTTTCCATGCTGCTCATATCACGGAAACATCTCTGGTCAAAGTCAACAATGACAGTTCTGTCCATCTGTGACTGGGGCTCTCTCTGACCCTTGTCCTCCTAGACCTCTCTGCTGCCTTCAACACTGTCGACTATCCTGTCCTCCTCCACTGCCTCTCTTCTCAGCTCAACCTTCACGGACCTTTCCTGTGTTTATTAATGATAGATAAGACTGCTGTTACTTATATTATGTTAGGGTTACTATTTCCAATATTGCAACTTTCATATTAGTTTAATACGAGAACTAATGAAAATTATGAGTAATTTAAGTTAGGCACAGGTTGTGTTTGAAACGGCAATAAAATACCGTTGACCTTTCTTAATCATGCTTCTGGAGTCTCATGGTAATAAATAAATAAGAAAGTGAGGGGTCTGGTGCCAGGACCGTGTGGGATTCAGTCACAGCAGGGAATCGGGAAGGTAACCTCCCAAGAATGCTTAATAAATTCTAGACTTGTAGAAAGAACCTTTGTTAAGCGGTATGAGTTTAGTAATTTTTGATTATTTAATAATTTTAATTACTTAGAATGCTCGCTTCTAAGGTGACAGAATTGTTCTCTAAAGAACTATGGGGTTAGCTGTTCCTTATGGCTGTGTCCCTGGAGAGGATTTGTACTCTCACCGAGCTTGACCCTTCGGAGCCAGAGCAATGTGAGCGGGTAGTTAGAACTGAAAAGCATTACCATAACGAGGAAATTCCCCAAAGGAGATTGAGACCTGGGAATTGAGGGATTGACTATTATTTATTGTGACGGATTTATTCAGGTGGTGGACAAAAGGAGACAGACTGGGGTAGGAATTGCCAGGGGGAGGTGGACGGCAACGGGGTGGGAAGAAACGAAAAACCATTCTAAGTGCATCTGCACAAAGCTATTTCCCTGCTGGAGGCATTAAAGCTTCTCCTGTTGGGCATGAAAGTGTGGTTGTCTCCGACTCTGCATATGCGTGCAGAGTCTACTCCAATGACCTGGTCAATTGGGTTGCTAATAATTGGATAAACCATAAGGGGAAATCCTTAGCTCACAAAAATATTTGGCAGTTAATTTGGCAACAAAAGGTAAAACCTGTGTTGGACACTTCAGGACATCAGAAAGATGTGGTAATAATTGTGCAGACTATGGTCGCTTGCTCTCTCTCTCTTTGTCTTTAGATAAACAGCAACCTGGAACAAAAGTGTCTGTGACGGAATTTATTGATTGTAGTGACAGGACCTTGGGACGTCCTCCTTGGAAGACGCAATACAAATGTAATTTGTTGTTGGTGTTTTGCTGCAGATCCCGAATAATTGAAATAGCGGCCCACCTGAAGTCAGGACAAATTGGTAACCTTCCTCATTGGACCAAGGGGAAGCTTTTAATAGTTGAAGGTCCCAAGTTATTCTGGCCAAGATTTGAAAACCAATTGATACTGCCAAAAACGATTATGTAAAAAATACTTGATTCCAATGACCCATGAGGGATCACGGAATCTACATAACAGAATTAAGGGGACTCGGGAGACCTACGAGGGTATTGGTGGCCCAAGATCAAAAGGGAGGTTAATCAATATGTGGAGGGCTGCATGTAGTGAGTACAAGTAAATCCTAGTAACATATCGTGGAACAACAAATTGGAACATACCAACATGGGTTATCCGTGGGAGAGGGTCTATTTAGACCTCTGCCAAAAAGTGCTAGAGGTAATCGGCACATACTCGTTTTTGTAGATCACACTACTGGATTTATGATAACAAACCCTTCCAAAAACTGTATTGAGAATTATGATTCAGGAGCTCATCCCGCATAATGGAGGAATGAAAATCCTAGAGTCAGACCGAGGCAATCATTTCACGGCTGATATTATAAAGTGTGTAAACCAGAACATGGGCATTAAACATAACCTTCACGTTCTCTACCACCCGGAGAGTTCGAGAAAAGTGGAAATGACAAAGCGAATAATTAAAAATGTTCTGAAAAATACATGTCTCAAAAAAGCAGAGCCCAGCAGAGCGAGGATGTGCCTGAGTGAGGACGGAACAGAGTGGAAAATCTGTGCAGGAATTTGTTGAGAAAGGGAATTACTGTGAAGCTCTCTGAGATGCCGTCCAGCGTGGAGGGCGCTATATAAATCCAAGTTGTTGTTGTTGTCGAAATCTTCAGCAAGAGTGAACTAGAGAGCAAGAGTGAACTCTTTCATTCAGCAGAAGAGTGGGAAATCTTTCTTATGGAAGAGACAACCTTTTATATAAACAGGAAAACAAATTGGTAATTAGTCATGCATTCATGCGTTTGATTCTGCTGCTTTGATACTCACTTGCACGAGGCACTGAGAGTAATCCAAAGATCACCACCTTCAGAGCAGAGAGTGTGTGAGAAGGGAACTGAGTGAGGTGGAACAGAATGAGAATTCTGTTAAGGAATTTGGTGAGAGTGGGAATACTTCAGCAAGAGAGATACCAGAGAGCAAAAGAGAACTCTTTCATTCAGCAGTGGGAAATCTATCTTGAGGCAACCTTATATGTAAGCAGGCAACCAAGTTAATTAGCAGTTAATCATAGGCCAGGTGTTGAGTATTAAAAAAATATGCTGACCAGTCAAAACTGGGGCTTTGTTTGAATCCTATATAAAGGAGAATGTCACGAGCAGAGAACCGAGCAGCGTGAAGAGGGAACTGAGTGAGAATTGTGTTAAGGAAATTGGTGCAGAGGGGGAAAGAGATGCATAATTATAAAATATTTAAGTTATATTAAAACAATATAAAACATGTCTCTGGGAATATGGCAGTGCAGCTGAGACTGACTGCATGCACAGTGTGTGGCATGTCCCAGGATGCTTTGTTTGTGAGGAAGTGGTTCTCTGAATACCGGTCAGGATGATGACACCTGTGGGGAGGGGAGTCAAAAGCGAATGGATGCACAGGGGGACACGGGGAAGAGTGTCAATGCAATTATATTTGGGGACACAATGGTGAAAGGAGTAGACAGGTGTTTCTGCAATCAAAGACGTGACTCTCGCATGGCACGTTGCCTTCCTGGTGCCAGAGTTGAAGACATCACGGAACAGATGCAAACATTCTACACGGGAACATCCAGTGGTTGTGGTCCATGTTGGGATCCATGACGTAGGGGAAAAAAGGGCTGAGATCCTTTATGAGAAGAATATTAGAAGCGAGGGAAAAAGCTAAAGAGTAGGACCTCGAATGACACAGCACGGAAGGAGGCCATTCGGCTCATTGTGTCTGTGCTGGCTCTTTGAAAAGAGCTTCCAATTCAACCCCACTCCCCCGCTCTCTCCCCAAAGCCCTGATCAACCCCCACTTTCTCCCCATAGCCCAGATCAACCCCACTCCCCTGTACTCTCCCCATAGCCCTGATCAACCCCTCGCTCTCCCGTTAGCCCTGATGAACCCCCGCTCTCTCCCCACAGCCCTGATCAACCCCTCACTCTCCCGTTAGCCCCGATGAACCCCCGCTCTCTCCCCATTACCCTGATCAAACCCCACTCTCTCCCCATAGCCCTGATCAACCCCACTCCCCCACTCTCTCCCCAAAGACCTGATCAACCCCTCTCCCCCCCTCTCCCATAGCCCATCAACCCCACTCCCCGCGCTCTCCCCATAGCCCTGATCAACCCCACTCCCCCGCGCTCTCCCCATAGCCCTGATCAACCCCACTACCCCCTGTCTGCCCATAGCCCTGATCAACCCCTCTTTCCCCATAGCCCTGATCAACCCCACTCCCCCTCTCTTTCCCATAGCCCTGATGAACCCCCCACTCTCTCCCCATAGCCCTGATCAACCTCACTCCCCCACTGTCTCCCCATAGCCCTGATCAACCCCACTCCCCCGCGCTCTCCCCATAGTCCTGATCAACCTCACTCCCCCGCTCTCTCTGACAGCCCTGATCAACCCCGCTCCCCCGTGCTCTCCCCACAGACCTGATCAACCCCACTCCCCCGTTCTCCCCATACCCTGATCAACCCCTCTCCCCCGCTCTCTCCCCATAGCCCTGATCAACCCCTCTCCCCCGCCCTCTCCCCATTCCCTTAATCTCCCCGGTTTGTCTTTTTGGTCATATAAATGACCTGGGTATAGGGAGCACAATTTCCAACTTTGCAGATGATCCTAGCTAGGAAAAGTAGGAAATAGTAGGATAGTAGCAGACTGCAAGGGAACATACACAGACTGGTAAAATTGGCAGATGAAGTTTAATGTGGAGGAATGCAAAGTGATGCATTTTGAGTGGAACAATGAAGAGAGGCAAGAGAGATAATAATATTCCTTGAATTTGATATAGTGTTTTATCACGTCTCAAAGCGCTTCACAGAATATACTGTAAAGTAAATTGACTGTATATTTTGTGGGTGAAATGCGGCAGCCAATTGTCCACAGCAGCGTCCCACAAACAGTCGTGGATTGAGTGAACAATTTATTATTATCATTTTTGTTTGAAGGATGGTAGAAGCTTAAAGGGGGTGAAAGAATAGATAGACCTGGGGGTTCATATAAGTAAATGTCTTAAGATTTTTCTTGGTAGGAAGCTAGTAAGAAGTACCACAAAGAATAGCCAGATCCTTAGCGAAGGAGAGAGAAATGTTTTCAGAACCCTCATTCTCCAGATTGATAAAGACCACGATAAAGAACGTGAAACAAATTAATTATCAAGAAGATATCACAGACACCCTATTATTTTGTGTTCTTAACCTTTTAATATTTATTTGTACCTATGTATTGTTGAGAGCTTCAGTAAGCCTGTGTGCTGTTAGGCTTGGTGCTTGCACATACGCAGTTATGGCATAATAGCTTTAAGAGCGATTTAAAGTCCATACCAGTATTTTAATTTAAAGGTAAATACTTTTTGCTGACATCAAGTTTAGATTTGGCAACAATTCGGCAGGAAAAAGAGGATTGGAATGATCCAGTGGACAGAGCTACTGCCATACACTGTAAATTTGGTGAGAGAAATACTATCAGTAGATACTTTCTAAAAGAGGATGGGCTTAACAGCCTTAAAAGGAGCGAGCCCAAATGCCTCGTAGTAACTATTTACCTTGTTTGTCAACAAAGAAGCACATGCCTGATGTGAGGAAGAGTCCTCAGGTCAGAATTTGTTTATTAACAACAGATAAGGCTGCTAGCTGTATAGTTATAGTGTGTTAGGGTTTCTATTTCCAATATTGCAACTGTTTTCATGAGTAGTTTTAAGTTTGGCTTAGGGTTGTTTTTGAAATGTCAATAAAATACCGTTGAGCTTTCTTAATCATGCTTCTCGAGTCTCTGCATACATCAGGAGGGAGGGGATTTACATGCACAGGCTGACTGAATCTATGTCACAGTCCGTTAGTGCGCAGGTCTCTGGAGTAAGCTGTTTATATGAAAAACTTCTTGTCGTGTTGGCACATTAGTGAAATTACACCTTAGAACAGGGAACTTGCACACTCAGCGAAGGATCGAACAAAGAGGTCACTTAGTTCACTATGCGGGAAACATTTCACGAGCTTACATTAGGGGTGAGAACCGTCGTCCTGAACACAGATGGTTTAACGTCTCATCCTCAGAACAGAATCTGATAATTCTGCCCTCCTCCTCCACTGCAATGCAGCGTCAGACAACACTGCGAGATCACAGTTCTGATGTGAGGCTTGAATTCACAACTTTGACTCAGTGGCAAGTGCTATGGACTGAGCCACACACTCCAAATTTTGTATGGTGGGCCCAATATCTGAGACACAGGGAAACTCATCTCCATGCTTAATAATAATAATCCTTGCATTTGATATAGCGGTTTTCACAGCTTCTCGACGTCTCAAAGCGCTTCACAGAATAGACTGTAAAGTGAATTGACTGTATATTTGTGGGCAAAACGCGGCAGCCAATTGCGCACAGCAATGTCCCACAAACAGTCGTGGATTGATAATGACTGTTTTATTGTTGTTTTTTGTTAAGAGATTTCCGATACGAGACTGAGTTCCACTTATGTACTGGAAATTTCTGTTTCATCTCCCCGGCTTGTCATCAGGCTCAGCTGCTGATAAGTGCTCCGAGACCCTGCATGAATGGTGCTTATATAAATGCAAGTTGTTGTTAACTGTAACCTCTCATCACTAGTATTATTATTCTACACCTTGTCTGTACCGTGCTTAACATTCTTCCTGAAATGAGCTGCAGATCATTCAAAACTGCAGCTCGTATACTCTCACGCACCAGGCTCCATGATCCCATCGCTCCCATCCTCGCCCGACTCCACCGGCTCCCCATCCCCCAGAGGATCGAGTTCAAGATCCTCGTCCTCACCTTTAAGACCATCCATGGCCTTGCCCCCTCCTATCTCTCTGACCTGCTCACTCCCTACCAACCTGCCCACTCCCTCCATTCATCAGGCTCCGGCCTGCTCCATGTGCGACTGGCACAAGGTGCGACTGGCACAAGGCTGGGTGTGATGACTGAATAAGGATCTGGTATCTGTAACCCAGGGAGGATGAGGACAACGTGACCAAATTAAACCAGTTTGCTATAAGGCAATAAATGTGAATTTCACCCTTACCTGGGTTCTAATTGAGCTGCCGAATTAGCTTGTTGATTTCTTCCCCCCGATCTCCTGTTCCTCCAAACTCTTTGAGGAATCCCACTCTGTTCCTTGCAGCGTGCCGGGCCACAGAGAGTTTAAATGGCCAGAGGAAATTACAGGCTTCTTTAAAGTGCCTCCCCACAGAGTACAGTTCATGTATCAGGTCCTCCAGACAGATCATTCCATGAACCCCTGTAAAAATGCAAGGAGTCAGTAACCTTCCCTCAAACCCTTAAGTCTCATCCCCCTTCTATCTTCACATCTGGCTTCAAAACAAGAACAAATTACATTTGTATTCCTCCTTTCACGTTGGGAGGACATCCCAAGGCGCTGGACAGACAGAGTTACGGACCCGAGCTGGGGGTTGGGGGCAGGTGGGGAAGCAGGGAGATTGAAAGCACGGTCGAAGAGGAGGGTCTTGAGGTGGATCTTGAAGGTGGTGAGGGAGGTGGCGAGACCGAGGGACTGGGGGATGAGTTCCAGAAGGTGGGGGCAGAGTGGCAGAAGGCCTGCCTGCCAATAGTGGGGCGAGCGAGGCGGGGGATGTGAAGCAGGCTGGAGGCCGCTGAGCGGAGGAAGCGAACAGGGTGGTAGGGAGTTAGGAGGTCGCAGAGATAGTGGGAAGCAAGACCACGGAGGGCTTTGAAGGCGAGGACCAGGATCTTGAACTGTATCCTCTGTGTGATGGGAAGCCGGTGGAGTCGGGCGAGGATGGGGGGGGATAAGGTCTCGGAGCCTCGTGCGGGAGCTGCAGAGTTCTGGATGATCTGCAGTCAGTGGAGGGAGGAGTTGGTGAGGCCGACAAACAGTTAGTTTGCAGAGTCGAGCCTCGATGTAATGAAGGTGTGTGTGAGGGTCTCGGGGCTGCGGTGTGAGACTATGTCGGAGCGGGTAATATTGCTGAGGTGGGGGAGGGCAGAGCCGGTCATGGCGCAGATGTGGGGTAGAAAGGATAGTTGAGAGTCAATCAAGACCCCAAGGTCCCGGACCGGCTCAGTGAGGGGGAGTGAGCCCCAGGGATGGTGATGCTGTCAGTGCCTGAAGTTGGAGGCGCTGACGGGAGCCAATCAGGAGAGCCTCGGTCTTGTTGACGTTCAACTGAGGAAAGTTCGCTCTCATCCAGGACTTGATATCTGACAGACATTCTATCAGCATAGCAGTGGGTCCTGGAGTCACGGGTGGAGGCGGAGGGATGGAGTTGGGTGTCATCCACATACATGTGGAAGTTGACCCCATGTCTGTAGATGATGTCACCAAGAGGGAGCATATAGATGTTGAAGAGGAGGGGACCAAGGACAGAGCCTTGAGGAACATCGCATGAGACAGTCCAGGGGCTGGAGAAGCCGTTTGTGGAGATGAAGTGCAGGCGGTGTCAGAGGTATGATCTGAGCCAATCAAAGACAGTTACGTGGAGGTTGAGGTGAGAGGAGAGGCGGTGGATGAGGATAGAGTGGTCGACGGTGTCGAAAGCAGCAGAGAGGTCAAGGAAGACGAGGAGGCAGAGGGAGCCCTGGTCGCAGATGGACAGAATGTCATTTGTCACTTTGACCAGGGCTGTTTCTGTGCTGTGGGCGTTACGGAAACCCAATTGGAGGCGTTCGAGAAGGGAGTGGCGGGAGAGGAAGGAGCGAAGCTGAGAAGCAACAACTCGTTCCAGGACCCTGGAGAAGAAGGGGAGGTTGGAGATGGGGCGGTAGTTAGAGAGTAGAGAAGGGTCCAGGGAGGATTTTTTAAGGAATACGAGTGATGACAGCGTTTTTGTAAAGGGGTGGGAACAGTATCAGAGGCCAGGGAGAGGTTAACGATGTCAGTGAGTAAAGGGCAAGGAGGTGGAGCTGGGAGGTAAGGAGTGGGTAGGAATGGCATCCAGGGAGCAGGTGATAGGTATCATACAGGTTATGGTGGTGATGAGAGGAGGGGGTGACAGGTTCAAAGGTGTGGAGGGAGAGGTGGGTAGGGGTCGGGGTGGGAGGAGAAGATGGGGAGCAGGTAGCAGATGCAGTGGATTCCCTCGACTTTGGATTTGAGGAAGTCCAGCATCGCTTTGCAGTTGGCATTTGAGGTGACAATGGATGATGCATGAGAGGGTGGGTGGAGGAGCCAGTTCGTGATGGAGAAGAGGAGCCTGGGTTTGTCCTTAGCCTCCAAGATTGTCTTGGAATAGAATGATGATTTAGCGGAGGCGAGGGCGGAGCGGTAGGATTGGTCATTGCGGGAGGACGCCCAGAGCTGAAAGAGTTCAGCTGACTCCAAGGCAGCCGAGAGTGATGGGGGGGGGGGGGGGGGGGGGAGATTTTTCCAGGGGCGGTATGAGATGGAAGTGGGTTGGGTGGTGGTGGGGAGAGGAATTGAGGAGTTGAGGGAGATGAAATGACGGTCCGAGATCGCTTTGTCGATGATGGTGAGGTCCCAGTCGAGGGGGTAACCGCGGACGTGAGTGGCGGAGTGGATGTGGAGGGAGAGATTGAGGGAGGAGATAAGGGAGGAAACGTCAGCAGAGGTAGAGCAGGAGGGGGTGAAGTGAATGGTGAAATCACCAAGGATGAGGAGGCGTGCAGAGCAGAGGGAGAGGAAAGATAGGAGGTGGCCAAAGGCTCTTTCAAAGAGGTAGGATTTAAGACAGAACTTTGTTAGAAAGATCGGGGGACATGCAGAAAGCCTGAGGTAGATGAGAGAAGGTGGATGGATGAATTGAATAGAATGAGGTCGTAGAGATAAAGGGGTTTGTCAGCCACGGAGACAACTTGAAATAGATGGGGAGACAGGGAGGGAGTGGTGACTCATGAATACCAGGTGACGGGTGAGAGGAGTCTGGTGAAGGAGACGGTACCTCTCCCTGCTTGCAGCCAGCGCACCATTAGGAAGAGCTCCGAGATGTTATTCTTTGTGAAGGGCGATGTGTAAATGCAAGTTGCTGTTGTACCTACCCAGATGCTGCTCAATTACAGCATTATTAGTTAAAGGTACACGCTTCTTGTTGACCTTTGCCTGGCCTCGCTTCAGAATCAGTTCACGGACTGACTTCAGGTTTGGAGACCTGCAGAGTAATCGGAGTATTTAGTCAGTTTCAAGCTGCTCTGAAATACAAACAACCAATTTGTTATTTATACAACGCCTTAAAGACATCAGGAGGACATCTCACAGAGGTAGTTGGGAACCTAGATGGGGTGAAGGGGCGCTGAGGAAGCTTTAAATGGCGAGTAGCAGCCTGCTCAGTTGGTAGCCTCTTGCCTCTGAATTAAAACATTCTGGGTTTGAGCACCGCACCGGGGATTTTGAGCTCTCAATCTTGGCTGATGCTCCAGTTCAGTGCTGGGCAAAGCACCACAGCTTCCCTCTTTCGGGTTGCAGGTCACAGAAGTATGGTGGGGAGAGGCCACAAGAGATTTATAAATTTACATTGAGACAAGTTACAACAACTTGCAATATTCAGTGCTGTTAATGCAACTTAAAGTCTTGGATCACTTTAAGGGACAGAGTTGGACACGAAGTAGGGGAAGAGGGATGGCTGTGGGGGGAGGGGGGGGGGCAAGGGGAGGTGAGCAGAAGCATCTTCAAAGATGTAGGGATTTGAGGCAGACAGAAAGAAGATAGGAAGGCTTGAACATCAATTGTGATTCTGAGAGAGTAGACACATGCAGCATAAGGTAGCTGATCAGAGGACTATGGTAAGAGATCAGAGATAGGGAGGTGATAAGATATGAATAGATTTGTAGAAGGTTGAGGAGCTTGAAATTGATCTGCTGAGAGCCAGAGGGAAACTGGCGAGGACTGGCATGATGGTGTAGAGACTGTTGTAACAAACAGAAATGGGCCCAATAGACCCAACACTTACCCCCAAGCCACATAAGGCTCCACCATTTGAAGCATCTTTACTGATGTTGGGTTCAAACGTACAAAGGTCCCACTGAACAGTTGCCGAAGTCTCAGCATCTGAATGACATTTCGTACCCGGGGGCTGATACCGTGAATCCTGCATAGAGAAGCAAGTTCCTCCGGTTAGTAGAATAAACACATTCCTAGCATGTTGCGGGGGACAGGGAAGAATGTGAGGGGAGGGGAAGAGTGTGGGGGGCGTGAGAGGGGGACGAACATGTGTGGGGAGTGAAAAAGCCCTTGTGTCGGTGGGGTGGGGGGAAGAGAGAGGGTGCGTGCATAGGGTCCAATCTCAGTATTACTCACTCTCGTATCCGAACTGCAAACACCAATTTCTGTCCAGAAGGAATGGCAGTGTCTCCCGGTTTCTTTGACAGACGGATAAGACGAATCTCATCTCTGTATTTTCGCCTGGAATCGCGGACAAAATTCTCAACACGTTTAAAGCGAATCTGCTTTCCTCTCTGAACCTGAAGTAAAACAAGCGTGTTCATTGCAACAACAACTTGGATTTATATAGCGCCCTCCACGCCGGACGGCATCTCAGAGCTTCACAGTAACGGATCCCGGTAACATTACGTTATAATTATAATTATTAATAATTATTAATTAATTGTAATTATTAGTTACAAATTCACAGTAACATTGCACCACAAAACCCACCCCCTTGCCCCATTCTCACAGTTGTTCCTTCCCCTCACCTAATCTCACATGGAGACTCACCTTCCTCTTCTCCTCTAACGCTCTCCGAGCTTCAGTCGCTTTAATCGCCTGATATCGGCGGCGCTTTTTCAGCAAATTCTCCGGGACCAGGAGCAGTTTGCGAGACCTGAGATAGAGAGACGCAGGTAGTGAATCCTTGAAGCACGGCTGATCAGCAAACTGGAACTTAAGGAAATTAAGGCTCCTCTCGGACAAAGTGATCATAATATGATGGAATTTAGCATTAAGTTAGAGAGAGAAGTAGTTAAGACCGAAGCAAAGGTTTTAAATTTAAATAGAGCCAATTTTGCTGGTATGAGAGAGGATTTAGCCAAAATAAACTGGGAAATTAGACTGAAGGATTTGACAGTAGACCAGCAATGGCAGACGTTTAAGGAGATAGTACAAAATTCCCAGCGAACACGTATTCCTTTGAGGAATAAGAATGCCACAGGAAAGGTGGCCCAACCGTGGCTAAATAGAGCAGTCAGGGACAGTATAAAGTTAAAGGAAGAAGCCTATAAAACACCTAAGATGAGTAGTAAACCCGAGGATTGGGAGAACTTTAGGGATCAACAAAGGAGAACCAAAAAAGTGATTAAGAGGGAGAAAATAGAATATGAAGGCAAACTAGCGAAGAACATGAAGACAGACTGCAAGAGTTTTTATAAATATATAAAGAGGAAGAGGCTGTCAAAGGTAAATGTGGGTCCATTACAGGGGAGACGGGGGGAATTATAGTAGGGGACAAAGACATGGCAGAGTCATTAAACAAGTACTTTGCTACTGTCTTCACCTTAGAAGACACTGAAAACCTACCAAGAGGGGAACCAAGAAGACAATGTTAGCGATCAACTTGGGGGGAATTCATATTAGTAAAGAAATGGTTTTAGGTAAATTGTCAGGTTTTAAAACTGATAAATCCCCTGGACCTGATGGCCTACATCTTAGGGTTTATAAAGAGGTGACTACTGAGATAGTGGATGACTTGTCTTTGATCTTCCAAATTGCTCTGGATCCTGGACTGGTTCCCATTGATTGGAAGATTGCAAACGTAACACCACTATTTAAGAACGGTGGGAGAGAAAAGATGGGGAAGTATAGACCAGTTAGTCTGACATCAGTGGGAGGGAAAATTCTTGAGTCTTTAATTAAAGATGTCGTTATGGGATTCCTGGAAGACCATAACAAGATGAGGCAGAGCCAACATGGCTTTACAAAGGGAAGTCATGCTTCACTAATCTTTTAGAGTGTTTTGAAGATGTATCTGCAGGTTAGAGAGGGGGGAGGCAGTAGATGTGGTATATTTAGATTTTAAAAAGGCTCTTGACAAAGTGCCACACAAAAGGCTATTGCACAAGGTTAAGGTCCACGGGATTAATGGGAACATATTAGCATGGATTGAAGAGTGGCCAACGGGTAGAAAACAGAGAGTAGGGATAAACGGGTCATCTCGAATTGGCAGGAGGTGACTAGTGGAGTGCCACAGGATCAGTGTTTGGGCCTCAGCTATTTACAATTTACATCAATGATCTCGACGAGGACATTGAATGTACCGTATCTAAGTTCGCGGATGACACTAAACTCGGTGGGAGAGTGAGCTCTGAGGATGATGCAAAAAGATTGCAACAGGATATAGATAGGCTCGGGGAGTGGGCGAGTAGGTGGCAGATGGAATTTAATGTGGGGAAGTGTAAAGTTATTCACCAAGGTCGAAAAAATAGAAAAACAGATTATTTTCTGGAGGGCGAGTGATTAAATAGTGTTAGTGTTCAGAGGGATTTGGGTGTCCTTGTACACCAGTCTCAAAAAGTTAGTTTGCAGGTGCAGCAGCAACTAAGAAGGCGAACGGCAGTTAGCGTTTATTATAAAAGGTTTAGAGTACAAGAGTAGGGAAGTCTTGCTGCAGCTGTATAGGGCTTTGGTGAGACTGCACCAAGAGTATTGTGTGCAGGTCTGGTCTCCTTATTTAAAGAAGGACATACTTGCCCTCGAGGGCATACTTGCCCTATGCAGCGTAGATTCACTCGGTTAGTTCCTGGGATGAGGGGACTGACCTGTGAGAAGAGGCTGAATAAACTGGGACTGTATTCTCTATAGAGTACAGAAGAATTAGGGGAGATCTTATTGAAACATATACGATTCTTAAAGGGCTGATAAAGTAGACACTGAGGGTCTGTTTCCCCGGTGGGAGAATCTATAACCGGGGGTCACAGTCTGAAAATGAAGGGTCAGCCTTTTAGAACAGAGTTGAGGAAACATTTCTTCACTCAGAGGGCAGTGACTTTATGGAATCCACTCCCCCAGAAGGCTGTAGATGTCAGTCCTTGAACATCTTCAAGGCTGAGACTGATAGATTCTTGAAAAATAGAGGGATTGGGGGATATGGGGAGAGGGCAGGTAATTAGAGTTAGGTCTGAAGATCAGCCATGATCTTATTGAATGGCGGGGCACAGGCTCGAGGGGCTGAATGGCCGACTCCTGCTCCTAATTTGTATGAATGAGTCCCTAACTTCAACCAGCACACCAGAGCTGGGATCTAGAGGGGAAGACACAGACCATGATATCCTGAACTTCTAACCCCATCTCAAAGCCCAGAACAGCCCCCTCAGCACTGAAACAAGATCCAGCCTCAAAAGACATCTAGTCCAAGCAGTATTGCCCCCATTCAGTGTAACCCCAGTGATCCAATACAAATTACATTTATATAATCCCTTTCATGTCAAAAGGACATCTCAAAGGCTGACAGTTGGCACTGCTGGGAGTGCGAGCTAAGGCAGACGGAATATGAAGAGAGATGACCAAAACATGAATTGAGGTGAGGGAGCGAAATCAAAGGGTCAAGGGAACTGGAGGAACTATGGGATGGAAGTTCCAGGGCATGGAGTCATAATGACTAAAAGCTGACTGACTGTAATCTGGATAGAGCGGAGTATTCTAGAGCACTGCTGATGGCAGGACCTGGAAGGGTGGACAAGTCACTGAACCCCCCCCAGAGAAGAAGGTTAGTAAGTGGGATTCGTGTGTCTGTGGGCGGGGGGGGCTGTGTGTGCGTGTGTGTGAGGGGGGTGCACGTGTGTGTGTGGAGAGGTGGACCTGGTAGGGTGGACGAGTCACTGAGGGCAGGGAATCCATCCACTCGGTTCCTGTTGACCCTGCAAGTCAAAGCCCTAACGGGAAGTGTGGTCACTCACTGGATGGTCAAGCAGCCGGTCAGTGCTGTCAATAGCTGGTTAGACTCCAGCAGTTACCCTAACGCACACTCGGGCCCAGGCCTCGGCTCTGACCAACCTGCACTTACACTGTCCGGAATTAGGTAAACAGGATGTGTCCCTCCAGGGAGAGAGCGTTCCATCCCAACAGTGTATCTCTGGGATTTCCCACTGTCGGTGGGGATCGTGGAATGCTGTTTGGTTTGGAGACCCCCGACCGGAAATCACAATGTCCAGTGATGTCCAAACCCCATCACCCCCCCAAACCCCCCCCACCATCAGCCCCCCCAAACCCCCCCCCAAACCCCCCCCACCATCAGCCCCCCCAAACCCCCCTCACCATCAGGCCCCCCAAACCCCCCCACCATCAGCCCCCCCAAACCCCCTCACCATCAGCCCCCCCATCACCCCCCCAAACCCCCCCCCCCCATCACCCCCCAAACCCCTCACCATCAGCCCCCCCATCACCCCCCCAAACCCCCCTCACCATCAGCCCCCCATCACCCCCCCAAACCCCCCCCCCCATCACCCCCAAACCCCCCTCACCATCAGCCCCCCCATCACCCCCCCAAACCCCCCTCACCATCAGCCCCCCATCACCCCCCCAAACCCCCCCCCACCATCAGCCCCCCCAAACCCCCCCCCACCATCAGCCCCCCCATCACCCCCCCCAAACCCCCCCATCACCCACCCCCATCACCCCGCGGCCTGTCTCCCCGCGGCCTGTCTCCCCGCGGCCTGTCTCCCCGCGGCCTGTCTCCCCGCCGCCGCAGTCTCTTCCTCACTCACTCTGTCTCCGCCATTTCAACTTCTTGTTCTCTCAACTCCTCGCGCGGCTCCACACGAGTGACCTTCTTCCCACAACTCCCCGCGCGGCTCCACACGAGTGACCTTCTTCCCATAACTCCCCGCGCGGCTCCACACGTGTGACCTTCTTCCCACAACTCCCCGCGCGGCTCCACACGAGTGACCTTCTTCCCATAACTCCCCGCGCGGCTCCACACGTGTGACCTTCTTCCCACAACTCCCCGCGCGGCTCCACACGAGTGACCTTCTTCCTATAACTCCCCGCGCGGCTCCACACGTGTGACCTTCTTCCCACAACTCCCCGCGCGGCTCCACACGAGTGATGAAGACCGCAAAAATACCTCCATTTGCACTCCACAAATGCCAATCCTCTATAATTTGGTCAATTCACTCAATCCGCGACCGTTTGTCTTGTTTCTCCCCAAAAATATACAGTTCATTCATTTCATGGTATATTCCTGTAGCTCAGTGGTTAGAGCACTCGCTTTGCAAGTGAGAGACCTGAGTTCAATTCCAGGCAGAGGGCCAAACCTCGGGCAAGTTTCCTTACTCCACACAGAGCCTAATAATAATCCCTCCAAAAACAAAAACAATAATAAATTGGTCATTTTCAATCCCCGACTGTTTGTGGGACATTGCTGTGCGCAATTGGCTGCGGCGTTCGCCCACAAATATACAGTCAATTCAACAACAACAACAACAACAACAAGATTCCATTTATAAAGCGCCTTTCACGTCAGGAGGACGTCCCGAGGCGCTGCACAGTTGGGTCATGACCCGAGGAGGGGGGAAATGGTCAGGGTGAGGGGAGGGAAGGGAGGGAGCGAGGAGGGGGGAAATGGTCAGGGTGAGGGGAGGGAAGGGAGGGAGCGAGGAGGGGGGAAATGGTCAGGGTGAGGGAAGGGAGGGAGCAAGGAGGGGGAAATGGTCAGGGTGAGGGGAGGGAAGGGAGGGAGCGAGGAGGGGGAAGAGAGTCGAGAGGGGAGCTGAAGGCACGGTCAAAGAGAAATTCACTTTACAGTGTGTTCTGTGAAGCGCTTTGGGACGTCCTCCCGACGTGAAAAGCGCTATATCAAATGCAAGGATTATTATTGTTGTTCTATGAAGCGCTTTGAGATGTCTCAAAGAGATGATAATCACTTTACACCCGACTCACTATCATTACTCGTCACGCTTAAATGACTACTGGAATCATAGAATCGTACAGCACAAAAAATTGTAGCCAAAGCCTCTGCCATTTGTACCTGTGCCTCCCATAGTAACCTCGGTGCATCCCATCCGGACCGGGCCACTTATCTACCTTCAGCGCAGTCAACCTTTTCAGTACTAAACTGAAAACTGGTTTACTAAACTGCTTTTTACTAAAGCACTATCTTAACAAGATACACTCAATACTAAAATTCTAAACATATATAAAAACATTATGTGATGTATGAAATGTGCCTAAATCATCTCTAACTATTTGTACGTATGTTGTGTGTGTGTTTTAGTAAGCAGAAGAGATACTACCAACAGGCAGGAAATCGTGACGAAGTTCTAAGGCTGGCACAAAAGTTAAACACCGTCTCTGATGAGCTGCAAACATCTCTTGATGGTCCACTCCGGCGAGAGCTGGATTTGTCCACTTTCCCTCAAAGGTATCTTCTTCCTCTCCGTAGCTATCGATTTTTATACCCTTTTCACCAGCCATCTGTGCTCTAATTTTTTTTCCCCCAAGACTTCTTTCCTGCTCTCTGCACTTTTCTCAGGCATTCTTTTCCTATCTTCAAGTTGTTTCTCCTTGTACTTGTTAGGGTAGCTTCTGCAAAAGAACAATAGTCCTCCTCTTCCATCTAATCTAGACTGACCAAACCACCTGACTCTATGTCCCTGAAGTTTCAGTCCTTCTTTCTAACTATCTATGTGACATGTTCACTTTATCACCTCAAGGCTGGACTATGGAAACTCTCTCCTCGCCGGCCTTCCCGCCACCTCCCTCCACACTGCAGGTCATTCAGAACTCTGCAGCTCGTGTACTGTCCCACACCAGGCTTCGGGACCACATCACTCCCACCCTCGCTCGCCTCCACTGGCTCCCCATCCCCCAGAGGATTGATTTCAAGATCCTCATCCTCACCTACAAGGCCATTCCTGGCCTTGCTCCCTCCTACCTCTCCAACCTACTATCCCCCTACATACCTGCCCATACCCTCCGTTCCTCTGGCTCCGGTCTGCTCCACATCCCCCGCCCCAACCGCCCTACCATCGGTGGCCGGGCCTTCAGCCTCTTAGCCCTGAGGCTCTGGAACTCTATCCCCCAGTGCCTTCGCCGCTTCCTCCCTTTCCTCCTTCAAGGCCGGTCTCAAGACCTTTCTCTTTGACCTTCAGCCTTCAGCTCCCCTCTCGACTCCCTACCCCCTCCTCGCTCCCTCCCTTCCCCCCCCTCACCCTGACCATCCCCCCCTCCTCGCTCCCTCCCTTCCCTCACCCTGACCATTTCCCCCCAATGCTCGGGTCCTGACCCAACTGTACAGCGCCTTGGGACGTCCTCCCGACGTGAAAGGCGCTCTATAAATGGAATCTTGTTGTTGTTGTTGTTTAAGTTTTCCCTCAGTTTAAATTACTAGTTTGTATCTCATGCATTCTCTTGGTCCATTATCCCAGGTTCCTATCTCTCCTGCCCAACTGTTGGGTTAATGACCTTCATCACCTTGCTTGGTTTGTAAAATTGGTCACGTAGAGTCCCTCCAACATAATGAGTTTTCCAGGCAACAAAATCCCCCTCTGCATAATCACACTTATTATTCTCAGAATTAGTTGCATGATAATCAGCAATCATAGAGTCTAAAGCGTCATTCAAATCTTCCAGCTGTGTCGTACTGATGCTTGTCGGGGTTTATGTAGTTGGTTGATTATGTGCCTACCATGAAATGGGTAAAACTACGTCAACCGGGGTCTATCACTGAAGCGTCGGTTATTCACCTCCATCATCACCCAGGGAATTCTTTCGTCCCATCTGGAGCCTTATTTATACAGGATTTCTTCAAAGCACTCTTTATAATACCATTAATTCTTCCCACTTTACCAGAGCTTCCGGGTGATATGGTACATGTATATTTTGCTTAATGCTTAAACTTAGATTGACCGATTTACTGATCTCAGCAGGAAAATGACTGCCGCTAGCGGATTCTAATATTTTTATTACACATTATGTTATGAGGTATCAACTTCTCAGTTATTATCCTCAACACAGTTTTTGCAGTACATTGCAAGGGTACGCAATGGTAAAACCATTCATGTGATCCACCAATTACCCCTGGCACTTTTAGATAAGGGTCTGACAAAGTCTAAATAGACCCTTTCCCATGGTCTTCCCATTTCAACCCTTTCCAAATTTTTCTTTTTAGGTACGGTGTTCAGATTGACCTGGATACACCTCATGCACCCTCCCCAGAACTTTTTACCTGTCTCTTAACCTCGGCCCACCAGTATTCACATAAATTGGCTTGGGTTTCCTTTATCCCATTTTGCAAACTCCGAAGTCCTTCTTGTGCCATGGTGATCAGTTAATCCAGTACCCCTTTTGATGGGATCAGTTGGTTCTTGCCTCCCTATTGCCAGTACAGTTGTAAGCCCTTTACCACCAAATGCTTCCCTTTTGACCAATTTGGAAGGCTTCCAGTCTGTCGTGACACCAGGTTTGTCGCTGTCATTGTTAGTACAGATTGTAAATGTAACTGGTGATAAAAGCATTCGTAATCAATACTTGTGGTACTGGCATCGGCTCATTTAAAAAACAAGCTGAGCGTGCCAGCATATCAGTGCGGTCATTGCCTGATGTATGCAATGCATCTTTTCCATGTCCTAAAGTGTACCAAACTTGCACAAGAGATTTGTCCTTTTTCTCTCTCCAAATTGACTGCCAAATTCCCTTGAGAACTAAGGGTTTCGCTTTATGGTTAGTCCAATTTTCATTAACCAAATTGATCAGGTCATTCAAAAATGCTTTGTATACATAACCAGAATCTGAAATGATTACTCATAGAATCATAGAATTATACAGCAGGAGGCCATTCGGCCCATCGGATCTGTGCCAGCTCTTTGAAAAGAGCTTTTCCAATTCAACCCCACTCCCCCGCACTCTCCCCATAGCCCTGCAAACTTCTCCTCCCCAAATAATTATCTACTTCTCCCTTAAAAGTTGTTATCGAATCGGCTTCCACCAGCCTTTCAGGCAAAACATTCAAGATCCCAACAACTAAACATTTCTCCTCCCCTCCCCTCCATTTCTTTTAACAACTATTTTAAGTCGGTGATACTGCTTTGGTATCCAGTGGTAGGAGTTCTAACGTACCATTGAAGAGAATTGTGCGGTTACCTGGTTTTTCCTCTCATTCTAGGTGACTTTAGCCTTCACTTCACTCCCTCCTCCTCTAATTCTGCTCACTTCTCCTCCCTTATCTCCTCCCTGAACCTCTCCCTCCACACCCACTCTGCAATTCACATCCGCTCTGCCACTCATATCCGCAGTCGACTCCTCGACCTTGTGATCAGTCGGGGCTTCACCATCTTGGACCTCACCACCATTGATAAAGCGGTCTCGGACTATCAATTCATCTCCCTTAACTCCTCAATCCTTCTCTCCACCACCACCCCATCTCATACCCCCCCCCAAAAAAAATCTAACTCCATCCCGCTCGGCTGCCTTCAAGTCAACTGAACTCCTTCCCCTCTGGGCTTCCTCCCACACTGACCTATCCTCCTTGGTCACTCTTCTCCACAGCTGCATCCCCTCTTTTCCCAAACTGTCTTCTATTCACATAATTCAACATGGTACACCAGCCACCTCCGTTCCCTTCAAGTGCAGATGAATGCCATTGAACGCACCTGGCTTAAATCAAACTTAGTAGTCCATCGACTGATTTGACTGGATCATGTCAAATCCTACCGCTCCGTCCTCACCTCTGCTAAATTGCCTTTCTACTCCAAGACAATGTTGGAAGCAAAGGGCAACCCCAGGCATCTTTTCTCCATCACCAACCAGCTCCTCCACCCA